AAAGCTGGGGAGAACGAGGGTTTATGCTCCTCGACGCCGACAAGGGCGGCGCCGTAAACCCTAAACCCTAAACCCTAAACCCTAGAATTCAGCTTTAGCTTTTGCACTAGTTAGGAATTACTTCATTTTGAAGAACAGCCCTAAACCCTAAACCCTTGAGGAGGGAGAATAGACCCTTAACACATGAGGCTAAACCCTAAACCCTAAACCCTAAGCTCTGAGGACGAAGCCTAAACCCTAAACCCTTGTGGCTGAAGGCTAAACCCTAAACCCTTGTGGCTGAAGGCTAAACCCTAAACCCTTGGGGTTTAGGGTCGGGTTTTGGGCCTCAGCTTTGAGGTCTCGACTTTAAAGCCTAGGGTCTAGACTCAAAGGCTAAAACCCTAAACCCTAAACCCTAAACCCTAAAGACTGAAGGCAGAAAGCGCCCCCTTACTGGCAACTAGGCAGGGGCCCCTAGGGGGCCCCTAGGGGCCCCCTAGGGGGCCCCTAAGGGGCCCCTCAAGGAGCTACGCATTTATGTTGTTTATTATGGAAGTTGGTGTGCATCTGAGTTCGTTTGCTGCTGCTGCTGCTGCTGCTGCTGCTGCTGCTGCTGCAGGGCCAGTGTGGTCTGCTGCTAGCGGCATCGTACCCGGTGATGGGAGAGGAGCCTCCAACGCCATCTTAAGTGCAGCTGCAGCAGCAGCAGCAACTGCAGCAGCTGCTGCAGCAACTGCAGCAGCAACTGCTGCTGCTGCAGCAGCTGCAGCAGCAGCAGCAGCAACAGCAGCAGCTGACCATCCGGTGAAGGGGAAAAAAGCCCCAAACACCTCCGACCACCGCCACAGCAGCAGCTGCTGCAGCAGCAGCAGCTGCAGCAGCAGCAGCAGCTGCTGCAGCAGCAGCAGCAGCAGCAGCAGCAAGCTACATGACGTTTTGTTGCTGGCTTTCGCGCGGTGTACAGACAGCTCAGCTCTTCTGAAGACGCGGCTCTGGAGGGATTTTGAAGTTGAATTAAATTAAATTAAATTAAATTAAATTAATTAAATAAATTAAATAAATTAATCAAATTTAATTAATTAAATTAATTAAAATTAAATAAATTGAATTAAATGATTGATGTTGAATGGTAAAGTGAATTAAATGCAAAAAGAATGAAAAGGAAATGAGATGCAAAGAAATATAAATAATTGAGTTGCAATTCAAATAATTAATTTAATTTATTTATTTAATTTAATTTAATTTAATAAATTAATTAAATTAAATTAAATTAATTAAATTAATTAAATTAATTAAATTAATTTTTTGTCTCTTGGCCTTAAGGGAGACAAAGGGGAGCTGGAGGTTTTCAGTTTTGTCTTTGTTTTTTTTCTTTTTTGTTTTTTCTTTTCTTTTATTTATTTCTTTATTTCTTTTATTATTTCTTTCTTTTATTCTTTATTTCTTTTATTGTTTCTTTTATTACTTCTTTTATTATTTCTGTATGTCTTTAGTTATTTATTTATTCTTTGTTTCTTTATTTCTTTTATTCTTTATTTCTTTTCTTTTTTTCTTTTTCTTCTTTTGGCGTTTTTGTCACTTTTGTCTCTTTGCTGCTTTCTTTTTTTTGGGTCTTAAAGAGACAAAAAGGGTTTTTCTCCTTTAAACCCTTTTGTCTCATTTTATTATCTTTTATTTTCTTTTTTTGTTTTCTTTCTTCTTTTCTTCTTTTATTATTTCTTTTATTATTTCCACCTCCTCTTTATCTCTTTTTATTTTTACCTCATCTTTTCTGTAGCTGCCCCATTTCCTTTGCTGTTCGATTGGGGCCCGAGCCGTCACTTGTGGGGGCCCCTGGGGGGCCCCTGGGGGGCCCCTTGGGGGCCCCTAAGGGGCCCCT